CATTATTGATGCATGACCTTTGACATCACACGATATGTTACTATAGTGATGACTCTGTAGCATTATGGGATACCTGAACGGCATGGCCGCCATCAGTTGTCAATAAATATACGTCTATCCAAAACGGAGCTTCTCGAGTTGATTTATCAATACAGACGTTACAGATTCGTGACTTGAAATCAAAACAATAACACGATAAGTTGGCTGGATCATTTACCGAGAATTAATCAAGAGAAATTGAATGAGAAATTGTTTGTTTAGTTTAGTCACTGTGTCAGTTACTAAACGTAGTTACATTTTTTGTAACTATGGCAATATGTACGTATTGGATCAGCCGAAAACATGCAGACAGTATTGTACATATACATTTAGTAATATTGTTTACTTAATACCCGGTAGTCAATTATAGCCGTGGTGGGAAGGGGCGTCGCCTGACCGTGTGATCTTTACCCTTCACTCACAGTCATGAATGCAGAGCCAGCCGAGTGACAGATAGAGACTGATTTAGTTACTAGTAAATAATAATAACATTTTATATATAATAATACATGTAGTAACGATCAATCATTTTAGGATTTCCCTGGTTGCTACTTTAGAGGGCGGCGGTCGTCGTCATGTTGTGGGCATAAAATACCTCTTGTGGGACCCATATCGACCACAACGCCAGACAGAATTAAGACAATACTATAGTTTTAAGTAGAAGATGCTAATTACATAGCATGTGGTAAACTTGTATAACCGTAAATCTATTACATGTATATTAATTATTTTCCACCAAGCACGGATTTATTGCGACAAATTGTGGGTATTCAACTTACCGGACGAATTTACACCGATTGCGACGAATTTACCCTGCACCAACGTTGTCGATGCTACTTTATGTCGCCCGAAATCTTACACTATTGGGCTCAATACTCATAGATCCGCAGCCAGTTGAAAACAGGATCCAAAAAGACCGACGTTGAGGGCGTTTTCCGACTAAAAAATTGGCGCTGAAATCTTGCTGAAAGGGCCGAAAATCTTAAAATTGGGGGCAAAAAGACTGGCTCGACCGTTAAAATATGGGTCAAAACCGCGGCGCACACACATAGTTGAGTCGCATATACTTACGTTTTATATCATATGCATGCGTGATGCCTTTACTTTTCAGTGTCATTGACTTGTCATTCCATATCATATCGATACTAGTATCGTAATCTGATGGTGCTGGGCGATGGCCACCTGTTAACTCGGATAAAAGTAATATTAAGTCAAACGAAAACGGTACATAGGATACGACGCTATAATCTTAGTTGCCCACAACTTTTCTTGTATAGTTCGTAATTTTGAATTTCGGAAGCTCAAATAGGATAAGTCATCTCATGTCATTCGTCATCACAGAGGGTAAATGATCTCTATAATACTGTTAACAACATCATACACCTTTGAATTACGTCACTGTCTGTGTTGATGCCATGTGACATGAATCTAGCAGGAAATAAAATAATTGCATGCAGAGCTTGTGCTTATGCTTAGAAATGTTAAAACAAATCTTTCCAAATTGCCACTCCTATGATTGTTGTTGGTTGGGTCAGTGCATTTCGACACTAAATGGATTTCTAAGCTATATTTATTTTTCCTACTAGATCTTATTAGCCAGCCATGCTTACATCGTCAAACCCCTGTGAGCGAGACTAGATATCGAAGTACATGATGGGATGTACGTGAAAGCCACATTTGTGGCGTAACCGACAGTTTTAAAACAAGAAACTTACCGTTGATGCATTTCGGTCTGCTGGCAACAGAGTACCGTGGAGCTGTGGGTGTTGTAAGATGGGTCATCGGTGTATAATCTGACGGACCGGGCAGTGAAATAGCTGTAAATAATGGACATGTAGCTGCTAAGACTGAGTGGAATTACTGTGACGACAAATTGATAAATTCTTGAAGGCAAATAAATATCATGGATGCGTATACATCATAGGCTCCCGTCCCGTCCATACCATACTGCGATTCTTTAATTTATATTAACTACATCGTGGAGGGGTGCTACTCAGTGAACATACCCTATATAGTAAGTGGTGTACAAAACTATTGTCACGGTATCATTTTACATTGTATAAATCCTGACTACTAGTGTTACCTTGTTGAGTTAGTGGCATTTCGCCTGGAGCAACGACGTATTCACCCATGGCTGTTCGTTTCTCTGTAATACAATAAGATAACGAATCAACTTTTTAGTAAGTTAATCGCGAATGGGATAACTAAGTTGTTACGCTATGTTTGAGTAGTAATAATATCAAGAAATTAATAAACAGAGCAAGGCAAGTCCCCATCATTAACTACATCAGCGTTTACTACCGTGGGTTTTACTTTCTTAATGTATTTTAGTCACACTCAAAAAAACATTGATTGAGCATTGATTCTGGTTTCCGGCAAAACTGAAAATATATTTGACATTTAGAGAACCAGGCTGGATCACAATCAAATGGAAAGTTCGTTCGATCTGTCTTTTGCTAAATTTAGTTTCTGCTGTAGATTTTACAGTTGAATGGGGCACGGGATTCAATTGGGCATTACAAAGTCACACACAAACAAGTAAATTTAAGTACTGTAGTTAGGAACTATTACAGATCGTCATACATGAATGTTGTTGTAATGACCCAGGGGTAGAACGTTTAGTAGCGACCGCATATACGTAAGGATCCTAAACGAATGTACAAACCAGTCTATATGGATGACAAGTCTCCACACATCATATTGGCAGATATTAGTCTATCATAAATTATTATATATGGATGGTGTACACAGCAATGGTGCAAATTAATATAGCACGGTGGCGTACTTCTACCTCATAGTTGTCGAGCTCAATCCCGTAATGCATATCTCAGAACTTTCGCTGCAAGTACAATCTGATTTTTTTTATCACTAAACCAAGGTGCAGCGGAAGTTCTGATATATGCAAGTACTTACGATGGGGTTTACATCCTGTTTTTATCGAGGTCGTCTTCGAACTTTGTGACGTGGATGATGATCCATATTTCTCATCCGCAAAGCTGACTCCCTGCGCAGAGTGTACACCTATTTCTTCATGGATTATCTGCTGCTGACGCCCCATATTGAAGAAAATGAAATATATAGGAAAATAAGATATACAAAACAAAAACAAAAAATTAAAAGGGGCCAGGTATATACGTCGCCGCGGCTGTTGTTTCTTTCCAGCGAACTGTCGGCAGCAGTGAACTAGAAAAGACGTTCGACTCGTGCATGGAATGTCGCGTTCCATTTTGCAATGTACGCGCGGAAGCATGTGTATTTTTTACATTCGAACGTTTTCTTTGCTTAGTACAAGGCGTGAAGCTACATGGTACTAATATATTTAAACATGTGGCGTTTTTCGTCGACAAGATGATGATACAATAATTCAAAAAAACTGTGCGCCCTTACGTACTTTATTTTGTTTAAAATAGTATTTTATTCAAACTATAACAGTGTAAAATTAGTCATCCCAATGTACCCCAAGTATAAGTACAATAAAAAACACTAGATAATACATATTCGTCTGTATCTCTGGTAATACATTGTTCCGCAACTTCAGCATGTCGTCTTCCCGGGGTCGTCTTTTGATTCCATCGGAGAGTTGTGGCTATATTTTTAACGTTCGCTGTCTTGAATTTGTTTTTAATATAGATTTTCTAAATAGATTAAAAATTAATTAATGATGTTCTACGGAAACTTTTTCTGCATGTTTGCAGCGTGTTATCGAAACAGTGAAGTTTATTGAAGTTTGCAACTGCGCAAAGCACGACGGGCGTCACGTGATTTCAGATTAAGTCAAGATGGCGCATCGTCAGTGAGTGGAGTGTGTTAGCGTCTGTCATTGTGCAGTCAGTGTATCGCAAGGTGGTCGCCAGGGAAAATAACCACCAAATAACATGGATTCACCGCCAAGAGATGACTATCCAGTTCTACTTGATTTGAAAACCAAGAAAACCTATCCACTGACAAAAAGGACGCTGAAAATAGGTAAAACCATCATCGCGTCATCGCGCTTGTTCAAAAACCATGGTCACTTGCTGCTCTGTTGTTTACGTTTTTTGTTGTCATTTGACAGTTAGTCGAATGCGGGTTCTTTTTGTTTCGTATAACTGTGGAAAAGATATGCTCTATAGTTAATTCATGCTAGCATACTAGTAATACACGTGATAGGTATGATAGTGGAGCTCACGATAAACAATTATCAGTTTGATTGAGATCCTACCTAATCCGCGTACATTTTTCATGGCAAATACTAGTAATTGGTTATCGCTGTAAACGATGCGAATATTGTGAAATACTTTGTTCGGCTATTTTTTTTACATTTTTTCAATCAATGTCGTTCTCATATATGTACTTTTACAAAATTTGGTTCTAAGGCAGTGGTTCTCAGAAAGCAAGTGTATAGTTCTTTCGAAACTACGTGTTACTAGTAATTTACCACGCTAATTGCTATAAAGTTAGCCCGGTTTAGTTACGGATTTGGTTTCGTTTATGTGTTCGAAAATATTTATTTATTTACCCCGACCACTTCCATCTCTAGCCACCAACTTCATGAAACGTGGCTTGCATAAAACTAATGTCAGCTGGTGTGTATATTAAAGTCCCATGGCTAAACACTGGAGATGTGCTACTCTATAAAGGGAATGTGTGCTCGTATAGATACTTCGGCTGTATAGCTTCAGTGTTGTAAAACAAAGCAGGGAGAGATTTTTCGATGTACAGAGTATTAATGCTAGCTGTGACAGAATTCTGAGTGTCCATAACTGTAAAGTCCCTTTTATGAAAAGCAAGAAGTAGTAAGAAATTTATGGGACACACCTATCGTGAGTCACGGTATAACACATAATACTGGTAGTTATTTCCTTCTTGCCATTTATTGTCAAGTAGTTGTTAATAAAGTTATATGCTTGAGAAAGGTGTAGTATCAGCTGTTGTGAACCACAGAACTCTTGTGTGGGCAAGAACTGATTTCAATTCAAAACCAACTTCCCACTTGTCTCACTAATTTTGAAACAACAGGGATTATAATCACTTGGAAATAAGGAAGTTGAAATACCCAGTAGTACGGTAGTTTTTACATCCAATGATAACTACTGTTGGTGTCATATTAACTATACTATCTGTTACATAATGTTAAATGAGAAAGTGAATTTTATTTAAAGCAGTATCCAGTGTGACAGATACAACATGTCTAATTATAATGTTTTTATTTATTTATTTATTTATTTATTTATTTATTTATTTATTTATTTTTCACCATTCTAGATACAATAAATCATAATTATTTAAATAATTATATGATACTGAGTATATACATGACTGGGATTACAATAGATACATGCAGCTCATGTGAAGCTAGTAAACATCTAACCACTAACTAATTAACATCTTTTATATCTCTAAGAATTAATTATAATATTAATTAAATACAAATTATATTCTGCCAAAAAATTACGTAACAATTGTAAAATGATTTAATAAGAAACTAAACATTTGTGTGTACACCCCCCCCCCCCCCCGGTAAATAAATTTTAACAGATTTTTTAAACATGGCTTGATAAGTCATTTTTTCATCTGTATTAGACAAGTATAGAATTCCAGATTAATGCACGAAAATAAAAAAATAGGACTTGAATGCCTGCTGTGCAATTCTATTCGTCTCTGTGTCTGACAGTTCAAGACATTGAATTTCATTTTTTTTTTGCGTTTTTTTTATGTAAAAATTGCAACGATGATGAGTTAAATTGTTCTGAAATCTTTTAAGGAGAACATTTCATTAACCTCTAGTTGATTTTCATTACAGCAAAATATTATTGCATTTATATTGTCAATATTCTAATCTAATTATATATAATCTCACAATATTTTTCTGTTGTCAACCTGAGAGAAAATATCATGGAATATTATACATTTATCACATGCATATTTCCACATTCCGCAATGCTGAAATAACACTGAATACCAATAAATCATTAAGCATATGCTAATTTTGTTAATGGCTCAGTGTTCCTGTGTGCACGTTCATGATTTCTTTTTTATTTCAAACTTTTATTTTTTGGAAAGACTGATTAATAATAATAGTGAAAATAGACATGTGTTCTTGCCAAAATCAATCATTACCGGTATTACTACAATCTGTAGTTATCGGGTTGCATTTAAACCCAGAAGCTTATTATGCTTAATTATATTAATTCTAAATGAATGCAGTTGTTTACTCATATGATGCCATTCTGAAAATTCTAGGTTAGCATTTTCGTGTAATGATAATAATTTATTTACTTTTCATTGGCCACCTGATCATAAAATGTAGGAAATAGTAATCTAAATAAAGACAGTAATTCAAAAAAAATGAATGAAATTTGTTCAGACATTGAAAGCTTTCCAATAAAATTTGAATAACAACAGGAAAAATCCTGTCATCACAAGTTGCCAAAAAAACACAAAAGAAAAGGATTTTGGTACTATTACATGTAATAGCTACATTTTGGAGGAATGTAGGTATGATTTGACTGAAACGTATGTGTAAGGTATAAGCACAGTCCCTCTATCGTGTGATAGAGGGACTGTGGTATAAGCGATCGACTGTGGCGATTGATTCCCGGTGTCAAAATGAAGAGCAATTTACAATATTTTCCATTTATCTTTATCTTCATACTAAATGGGTGACCTTCCTTATTAATTGGGGGTCTGGGAACCAGGATATTGGTCCAATAACACAACCCATGTAATTAAATAATAAATAGTGCAGAGTAACATGTTTGGTGTGTGTGTGTAGCATTGTTTTGTTTCCAAGTTACTTCATTGTCATGAAGGTTCTGAGAGTCATACGACAATTTATGGTACTAGTGTTAAATCAAATATAGCACAAAAGCATAAATTACATTTACCAAGTATTTGAGTGACAAGGGAAGCCCTTCCAATTGATTTTCATTTTGGTTTTTATAGAACTTGTAGTTTTTTGTCTTATGATCTCGGCTGGTCCAGCCATGACACTTTAATTGCTATATTAATCAATTAACAAACAAAAAAATTACTACTGACTGGTCATACATTCTATTGAACCAAAGATATTTGAGAATACAAAAACAGGCAACTGCTGCAAAGATGGTAGAATGTACTTCTCTTGGTGTATAGTTTTCTATAAGATAAGTGATTGGGTGCATGCAACAAGTCCAAAACTGCTAGGGACCACTTTGTCACTACAAAATGTAGTTTATGTAACCCAGTATTTAAAAGCATCCAGGATCAAATACGTTTTGCAACAGTTTCAGTTTAGCTACATTTTTCATATACTGTGGCATACACTTGTTTTTGTTTGAAATTTAATGAATAAGCATAATGTATTATCCTTTACTTATGCAGCAAGTCCCAAAGAAAATGTCCTGTCAACTGTTAACTCCAAGCATTTTTTAACCCGTGTTCGAAATAAAATGTAACAAATTTATTCAAAATCTACTAGGTAGTTTATGTTCTACTGTTTATACCTACATTTGTATATGTGAAAGATCGTTTTTGTATGTGTTGCTACAGTTGCCAGTCCCTGTAGTCTCTGGTAATTTATATTGAACTTTAGTGAACTATAAACATATTGAACAATGCTGTTAACATAAATTGTTATGCTAGTGAGTGATTGCCAAGCTGCTAACCAATAAGAAGGCACCCATGTCAGTCTTTTTTGCGTCTGTTTCACCGCAGACAAATTCCCTATATATACTTTGTAAATTTCCAATGTAAAAAAATCATGACATTAAACAACATCTGACTGGATGTTGTTTTAATTTTTAATTACATTTAATTTTAATTTCTAATCATAATCTCACTTGTGCATAGCAAACCATTCATAAATGTAGCTGGCAATATTGTTGTTTTGGTTTACTAAATAAAATGGCAGTTATGTTAATACCGGTACATTAATGTCTTTGTTAATTCATTCAATTTACCAATGGTTAACCACATTCCATATGTCAATTTTTTTATATTCTAGGATGGGGTGAATATGATATTGAATTGAATGATGAAAATTGTAAAGGATTATGTTGTGAAATTATGAATCAGAACAATGCTGCCATCATTTTTCCATTTGCTATCACCACATCTTGTCTAGTAAATGATGTGGAGATTGAAGAACAGACGACATTAACCCACGGTTAGTTAAATTTACAACAGTCTGTTTGTAACAGACAATATGGAATATTTCCACATGAGGTAATATCTGTAATGTTTGATTAGACAAATTATTCTTTGTTTCATGTGTCATTAAATATTTTATATTGTCTTTCAGGGTGCACTCTGCAACTTGGAAAATCAAGTTTATTCCGATTTGAAGAAACAAGGTAGGTTTCACCCTTTCGGAGGGTGGGTTTCAAATTGTCAACAAAATCTACATGATCTTTGCTCACATATATGCCTCAACTTAATTCACAACAAAACAGACATTTATCCAACATCACTTTTTGAAAACGCTGACAAATTTTACTGGTAAAAAGACAAGAAATAATTGTATCCATATGCTAATTACTTTTTAATGACAATTACCTATTTCTTTGGCATTCCAGTGCACTCAAACTTTTTATTCTGAACTTTACAGGGATATCGTTCCTAAAATCATATTGGATTTTTTAATTTGTTTTGTATTTTTCTTTCAGGTTTAAAAGTAATCGAAATAGTGTATTAGATGAAAGTGACCTGACAGATGGAGCTAGTCCCCCTCCCAAACCTCCAAGATTATATTCTTCTCCATGTTCCAGTATAGATAAAAGTAGTGAGGATGGTATGGAATCCACAACGTCTGGTGCTAATAGTTTCTCTGATGACTGGTGTATTATAATTCAACCAGATATAGACTCTGATTTAATACAACAGTTACAGACCCCTGAACAGGTGAGTAATGAGAGTAACAGCGGCTTAGACTGTGGGAAAATCAATCTATGATAAGATCATAGAATTCTAAGAATGGTAAACAGAAACGGAACAGGTTATCAGACATGCGATTCTATTCAATGATATTTGCAGTTTGCACTAAAAAAGAAGTTTCTGAGACAAATACTAACCATTTCCTTTGTTAGTATTGGTAGATGTGTATTTGTCCAATGGTTAATATATTGGATATAGAATAAAGATTAAGTGCATGTCAATTTATTTCTTTATCCTCTTTATTATCTTTACTGTTATCAAAGATGACTGGATGCAGAGCTATTCAAATATGTGATTGTCCGTTCCATGTCTGCATCAACGTTTGACAATGAAATTCCGTGGGCATGTCCTTAACAACCAGAACCAAACTGGGTATTTTGTCTAGTGGGCCAGCATTACTTGACTTGACTGAGAAAATCTTCTTACAGAACTGTGAAGTAATGCAGTGGAAGTGTTTATGCGTTCCTGATAAATTTCTAGCAAGATCCCGATCAAAATTTCCAGTTGAACAACAGTGTCACTTTTTCATTAATTCAGGTAGCACATCTTGCTTCATCGTATATCAGTAGACAGCTGCTAATGTTGACCAATGTATCAATCTCACCTGAGTTAGTGGATGAAGTATTTAAAGCTATGCAAGTAAGAAATCAAATCTTGATTGTACTGTATAATATCTGACCAGCTTAGCGTTCATGTCTGATTTGGGGTGGATGCACCCACCCATTCTGAAATCCCTGAATTGTGCTGAATAATCATGAAACCTGGTCATTGGACTTGTTTTGATTTACTTTTTTATACAATAAAATTATTTAACTGGACAACAACAAAACAATGCTTGCAGTATTTGACTGCAAAGATCCTATATACCTCTGTTAATTTGCCATAAAGTGAATTGGTAAAGTGGAAAGGTATTTTTAGGTTATAAGGCTGGAATTCCTGATATACAAGGTCATGAACTTGCAGACACACTAGATGAATTTATGTCTACAAAGACCTGATAGTGTGATATCACATTCAGAATAGCTGTCAGCTTTATCACATCACTTGAATGAATGGGAAAAAAAATGTCTCCGGCAGGGGTGGGGTGGGGGGTGTTTTTCAATGTAAATTGTCATCATAAATTATTCTAACTCCATTGAACTGATAATAAAGAGTACCTTATATAGAAATAAAAGAAAAAGAATCTGATATATTTAAAGTTATTTGGTTATTTGTTTTCTTTAAAAAAATATATAATTCTTGTAGCAATACACATAATTCATAATTTAAAAGTGTTACTCACAATATGATAATAATAAGATTTTGAGCAGGTCTATTGACCTATAATAATAGCCTTGTACTTACACTCAGTGTAACAGCTGATGGTGATCTCTTTCTCTCTGAATAAATTATGTGCTGAGTCATCAATAATTAAAATATTAATTGTTGTGTGCATAAACAAAACTGGCTCATTAAACCAAGAAGGCTTCTTTCAAACACATAACTGCCATATGTTTTCACTGTCTTCGTCTCAGCTAATTATTAAGAAGGGCAAAATAAAGATTTATGTCACATTCTTGATGCTTTCAGTGTCATTGGTTAATCATTAGGGCACTGAAAATGAAAATAAAAATTTGGGTCACTGGACATTTTTCAACAAACAAAAAATCTAAAATGTCATGGAAAATTGTCAAAATTTTCATTTTTGCACTTGTTTCTTGGGTGAAATTATTTCTTCATATGTTGAAAATGTCTTTGTGACATCGGGTGAAGAAGTTGTATATTAATAGTGATATGAATATAAAAAAAAATTTACATTTAATTTGTATACAATGAAAAATTCCCTCCCACAATGTCTTGCAGATATTTGCATTTTTACTGCCTTAAACTACTGTAGAATACTTTATTTTCACTTGGAATTCATTTTCGCTGAAAGTATGATTCAGTGGAAATAAAATCCAGCGAATATATCTCTTTCCATATATTTTGCATTCAACTTATAACAAATCAGTGAAAATAAATTCCATACAAAACATTCAAAAAGTCTCTTCAGCAAAAAATATTTCCAGCTAAAATAATGTATTTTACAGTCGTGCAAAAATATGTGGTTGCTAGATTCACACTCTACGATACTGTCACTTATAATTTAATTTTCTGTAAGCTGGTATGGATGTACATGTATAAATCAACCAATCACATCTTGTTTCTGTAATTGCAGGAAGTTGCCGAGACAAACGAGAACATTCTGATAGACTTCTTGAAAACATTTTGTGAGGACAACAACAAATTAAAAGAAAAAGAAGACATTGAGACAGAATCAACCAGCGGAAAACCTAAATTTTCATGCCATATTCCACTTATAAAACTACTCCTGGATTTACTGAGATATTCACTGGTAAGATACCTACCAATATGGTGTATATGTGTTCATTAATTCCCATCCATGGCAATAGAATATTCTAACATATGTTATAGCTTCACTTAACATATATTTGCCATGCTTAATTAACCTTTTCACCAGCAGTTCCTTTTTTTCATCACAAATTCACAAAATAGTACCGTTTATAGTCTGCAATTTCTTTCAGAAGATTGGGACAAAAATAGCCAATTTTTTTTAGTAACAACTGAAAATTGACTCATATTTGGTCTGTTGGCTCCAAAATTAGGGTTTATTTCCAGAAATGTTGAAGAATATATGAAAAAATTGCAGAACTATTTGGACGAGAAAATCTGGTGGTGAAAATGTTAAAAACGAAAACACTAGCCCGATATCATCGCATTTTTTTGCAATTTTGTGAACTGGTAAAATGAGCCAAATGTAGTTTCTGTTTCAGAGGATGTTTTGTGGATGTGAATAAACCTTTAAAGCGAAAACATTGTTTAATAAATGTTACAATGTCTTGAACATAAATCTTGTTTTCGTCATGTTAACCCTTATCCTGCAGGATCCTTGTACATTTACATTGATATGGGTTGAGTAAACTTTATTCAAAAAAATAATTCATTTTAATTTTTTCTATGAGGAAATACCATTAGTGGGGTTGGGTCGCTTAAGTATCACATAGGGGAGTTTCATTGCTTCTATTGCGAATCCAATTACTTTGTCAGGACTGATTTTATTTAGTCCTAAAATGAGGATCATACAAAATTGTATAATATAAATATGTGGTTAATTTCAAATAGACACTAAATGAGTAAGAATAAATATTGTAAGAATTTCCAGTGTCTCAGTATGTTTTGGCTGTTTTGAAATTGCTTTTATCAAAAAGTGATTGAATTATTGAAATAGTTATGGTTCATAAATGTTTGATACTAGTAGTTATATTCTCTGAGATAAATTGCCATCCATGTTATGATGTATTTTAATGTGTGAGAAGACATTGGCCCACTCACTCCACATCTAAATTGGTTGAGCTGAATTCTGCTTTTACCAACAGATTAACTGTCATAGAAGTATTCGATTATCATAGTTTTTGCCATGTTCATTTGAAATTTTGGCTTTTGAGAAGATCACATGCCCAAAAATGTTCATTAATTCAACCTTGTTCTCCTATTTTCAGGACCCTGTGGAGCATAATATTCTATGGACAAAACTCCTTGCCAAGTTGAGTTTCTTCACAGAAAATCATCACACACTGTTGACGTGCAGAGCTGGTGCCGTATTGCTGGGGACAATGGCAGCACACTTACAAGCGGATGAGATCCAAGAGAATGCATGTCATGTATTGGCACAGCTAGCAAAATATAAACCCACACCCAACGCAAAGGTTAGTCATATGATACTGATGAAATAACTAAATATAAAATGAATATTAAAATATAATCTTCAGATAAAGAGATAAATTAAATTGTTATTGGCTGTGTGGGTGTGGTTTACAGTGTGCTTTAGCGTTAGTGGTAACTGGTATCTTTATTTTTTATTCCTGGCAGGGTGCAGTTAAACAGTGTGCTATAGAGTTAGTGGTTACTGGTATGGAAAGACATCTTGACAAGCCTTCTGTTTTAAGACCTGCTTGCAAAGTACTTGCAAATACTGTTGTGACCACATCAGAAGTGACTGCAATGACACCCCAACAAGAAGGTATTAAATGTATGATTACTGAATGATATAAATAAACTTTGTTTAATTTAAGTTATTTCATTTTATTGTAGACAGTTAGTCCTGCCCCACCAGATTATATGTTATATGTTTCTATGTAGGATTTAATATTGACGTTTTTGAGAAGATGATGGTGGCATCACTTGAGATGATTGACTATATCCGTGATGTGGCTCTACCAGTCTTAGAGTCAGCAATGCACGAGTATCCTAAAGATTTCAGTATCAACTTTGATGGTGCACAGGTCAAAGAATATTTCAAAAATCCATCAAAGTTTAAAAAGAAGTGAGTACTGTAATTTTCATTCTCATTCCATGTGTCATTGTCTCCACAATTTTGAGGAATAGCTGCAGTGTTCAGCAGAGCCATAAAATAAAAAAAAAAAAAATTACTCTAACAATTTAACCACAATCTAAACTGTAAGGTAACTTTATTATGATACAACATTTTTTTTATGAAACTAATCATATCCTGTGATCTCATCAAGTTTGTACATGCATGACCTTTGACCTATCATTTCAGAAAGCAGATGGAGAAGGATGAGATCCAAAAAGAGGCTGCTAAGAATCTTGCTTTGGAAGCCATAAAACAGAAAAAGAAAGTGACCAAAGTGAGCAAAACCCACCATAAGGAGGCTACCACAAAGCATAATGATAAATCACCATCATCATTGATGTTGCCGATATCAGAAAGGGAAATGAAACTAGAGCTAAATATGGTGGGACAGGGTACGTTGAATGAAAATGATAGTGTATTAACAGGGACCAATGGCATTGAGGCAATGTATGGAGAAACAAATTCAAGTGATTATAATGCAAATGTTAATTATAGTAAACCGCAGCGTCAAACTTGGGAGAAATCACAATCATGTGACCTTCTTGTGGTGATGTCTGATATCGTACGTACCCCAAACTCCACTCCTGAAATGAAAAGAGAGAGAAAGAAATGGAGCACTATGCAGGTACTGCCTGTCGGGTTAATCACTGAAGATACAAATACACCAAAGATACAGCCAAAATCTTGTAATACATCAAAGAAATTTACAAAGAATCATTCAGAGGTGAGTGAACCACCATTTCATGTTAAATTCATGTGAAGCTGAGAAATTTTTACCTTTTTTTTTTGCTATTGAAGTTTCAATTTGTATTACAATGTGCAACTTTGAAAATTAGTTCAAAACCACAAAGTTGGGGTGCACTTTGTAATATGGTGCGTTCAAACAGAAGTTTACACACAAGAAAAAAAATAATATAAGTCTAAAAAACATTCATGACCTAAATACAAGTTTAAGGATTAAACATTAAATTCAGTTTCGGAAACAAAACTATTTGCTAATCAATTCTTCTTTTTGCAATATAGGGGGAGGTCCTTTTGGTAATATTCCACTCATTTGACCCCCCTAGATCACTCTTTTTAAAGTCAACATGGCTGACACAAATTTCACAATCTGTTTTGCATTTTATTACAATGCAAACAAATTGGTTAAGTTTGATGGATAATTGGAGGATTTTATCATTGTTTCAGAACTTACACAATTTGTATAAATGAATTTCATTGTAAAAAACAGTAATGAACAAATTTGTTCAGTAATCAAGATATTTGCTGCTTTGTATTTTTGTCCTAAACGCTGCTTACTTGTAGTTTGCACTCAACTTGGGGGGGGGGGGGGTTACTAGGATGTGTTTAATAATCAGATTTTAACACCATATTTGGGTCACACCTGTTGCATTACCTGTATCTCATAAATCCCAGATAATATCCATGGTAAACAATTATATTTTGCTGCTATCAGTTTTGCATTATGATTTAAGACTGTTCACAGGATCAAATTTTGATGAAAGTGACTTTGTATCATGTTGAACCTTACTGAAATGTGACTTTTTTTTGTCTCTTTTGAAATGAATGCTGTTCACAGATAAATATATATATACTGTAAAGCCTTATATTTTTGCTGCATCAATTTTAGCATTATAATTATTTAAGAGTGTTAAGGGACAAATGTTTCCTGAAAGCTAAGTGTCAATATATGATCAGGTAGTTGGAATTTATTTTTCACAATATTTTGCTGAAAGGGGATATATCAGTGAAAATAAATTCCAGTGCAAAATATTTCTATATTTTAAATTCAAATCATCAACGATCAGTGAAAATAAACAGTCGAAATGTCTTTTGAGTGAAAAATTAATTCCAGCTAAAATAAAGTATTTTACATTATACTGGCTAAATCTGTTATATAGCATGTGGCCACCATGCTTGTGAGTATATAGTAGGCATATTATTATTACCTGAATATTTCACAGGTCATCAACTTTCTGGGCACACTTTGGATTACTGGAAACCAAGTACAAGCCATTGAATCTTTAACCAGAACAACTGAAGAGATAATCAAATCTATGACAGCAAAGAAAAAATCTACTTGTCCATTATCGACAGCTGATAAATGCCTAATTGATACTGACCCAACAGTTTGTGCTAGTGCGCTTAATGTATTCTGCTCACACAAGTAAGTGATATTCATGTATTAATCTATATCTGATGTATCTAATCATATGCATGTGACAACAAACATCTTTTGTGCATCCACATAATGTAATGTCATGTTACATCTCCCTGTACAGGTGAGGTAATGTCATATGACATCTCCCTGTACAGATGAGGTAATGTCATGTGACATTTCCATTAGTTTTGGGTTTAAATCTATGCATATTAATTACCCATGTTGCATAACAATTAGCTTAAAAATCAAATTTATTCATGGATCAAATTACTTTCACATTGTACATCTCAGAGTGCAGAGCTTATTAGCCAACAGGCAAATTTATTTTCTTTTATTAATTTTACATTCTAAATTTACATGTCTTCAATACCTTCATCATACAAAATTTGTTTCTAAGTTTTCTTTGATCTTTTTTTAGAGCCAAGTGGACCTTAGCTGCAGCTGCTAAAGTCCTTCCATTGACTGAGATATTATTTGCAAATCGACTGTTAATGCGGCCTGCTGCAGAAGTTATAACATTGATACTATCCTTATATGGTCAAGATGTACTTAAACAATATGAAGCTATTGAATATGGTGCGTATAAAGAAATCAGAAACTATGATCTCAGTAACTCAGTATGATTTTTAAGATGTATGGCAGTTTAATGGCTACTGCTACTGGCAGCAACATAGTTTAACAAATGGAAACCCTTCTTACTGTTGATGGTGGGATTCCCACACACATCCTCTGGCAAGCAATTGCATTGCATTTTTTGGTCCAAAACCAGTTTTAGATTATTGTTTTTCAGAGCACCGGTAACAGCTATAAACTCCTGACAAACGTGATCTTCTTTTTGTCTCTAGGTTGTCCAAGTCCGTTCCATCGGGATGACAGACATAATTTGGACGTATGTTACGAAGAGTTAGGCAAAGTGCATGACCAGATAGATGGTGCAATATCCAGAGTAAATGGATCAATAGAAAGCCAAGATCTCATCAGGCGACTAGAAACACTTCAAACCCAAATGCAGGAATTTACATCTGTGATATCACTGGCCTAATACCATTCATTATCAGCAGTGTTGTACATTCTCAGTAGCTTTACAATGCTTTCACGCATTGCATTATGGAAAGGATCTGCAATAGACCATTTTCCGTTCACTGCGAGAATCACACGTTATGCGTGCAATCGAACGTAAAAACAGAACAAACAAAGGTCATAGCGTCGTAGTGTCGTCAAACATCGCGTGGGATTCGACAAACGCGAAAATATTTTGGGAGCATTTCCATGCTTAATAATGTGCTGTATACATTTGATGATAGGCAATTTCGATTAAGTAAGGGTATTCGGAAGCAATATTCCTCTGTCGAAGATTGGCCGGTCGATGTGAGTCAGGAAATAAAGAAATTCTAGTTCAAAATCAAATCGTTCGACTTTTGCAGCAGATGTTCGACGCACGTTTATCTTACATCTCGCGAGATCTCGCAATTGTACGGAAAATCACCTATTTTGTAACGCTCTCTATTTCAAGCATTGCATCATGGGAATACTGCTTTTTTGCCAATCTTTCACTGTTTCAAGCATAGAATCATGAAAAACAAAGCAAAATTAAAACACATTTTGTATTATACAACACCAGAGGTACATTACTTGGGGTTTGCAACGCGCATAGTACTGAATGGTGACATCATGTCAAGATCCCATTCAAGTCTCATCTCGTAGATAGCGAGACTGATGCTACGACCTTCTGACATGAAATAGGCGGTTTGTAATAATCAATAAAACATGTATTACCACATTCATGGTGAAAATATGTAATACATCGAAAATTTACAGAAAATATAGTTATCGTAAGCAGCTATTTTGATCCACCTGGACATCCCAGTATCCTAGTTACCTTGGGTATGCGCATTCCCATTTTTCTGAGTTGGAACGCTTATGCGAGAGCGAGATTGAAACGGGATTTTGGTATCATGTCACCGTAGTTGCAAACCCCAAGTAATGTACCTCTGATAGCACACATTACAAATGTTTCTAAATCATGTTATTGTCGCACGATATATTCAAAATACCGGTAATGAAAATTTTCTTGGACACTATATACTGCCTATATAAGTACTGGTGCTTTGAGTTTGATGAAACTCTCCAAAATGCAGAGATGTGTTCATGTGTGTTTCTATTTTTTTATGTCAAGAAAATCCTTGCACATTCAAAACTTATATTGATCATATTTGTCTTTGTCATATTTAGAGATGAAGAAATTTTAGTGATTTATTATCAGAATACAAACTATAATTGTATCATATACTAGTAGATGTGATATTGCCGTCCAGACTTTAATATTCTGTAGTCATGTGTAAAGCAGAAAACAGAGAGATCAAGGTACTAGAAATAGCAAAAAGAAAGTCAGAAGAATAATGTGTGTAGGTAATGACATTGTGTAATTATGAGAAATTAATTTGTGTTGTATAGAGTGCTGCAGTGCATTTATTTTTTTTTCAATGCTACACACTGTCAAGTTGTTTTATTTATTTGAACCAGCACCCAAAAGTATTCAAATAGTAGTAACATTCCATACATTAAAGTTTTGTTGTCTTCTGCATTTTGTTGAAAACTTTTCCCATATAAAGTTAAATGGACCTTGCATCAAATTCCGTAGTTAAGGTGATTGAAATTCTTTTTTTTTATGTGGTCAACGTAAAAAGTTAAATGTCACTGCACACAATTAACCTGGGTATTGTGTAATTTTACCGCACCCAGTGGCTGTAATATATATGCATCATAGATCATAAAAATTGCATTTTGTGATTTTGGTCTAAATATCCCAAGCACTATTTACTCAGTGACAAGAAAAATCAATAGAATCTTGGGATATATTGTCAGTAAATTTAAATTATTAGCAAAAACCTTTTGATCAACACCATATGTCAAAGGATTCTAATAAAATAATCATTCCTACATGGTGTAGCTATTAAAACTGAGATTGCATTTTATTGAATACTTTTTTTCTGCCTGTACTTGTATTTATTGAAACAGTAATTTTGTGAATAATTTCCTTACACATTTCAGGAATATCAGAATTGCATTATTAACACTAAAGATTTGCCATGTTTTAACTTTAACAGATTTGTATTCATGCAAACCTGAAGAACATTTCAACTTGCCATTAACAGGTCTAATAGTACCATATGATACTGAAACTGCAAATGAGTACTTAAAAATGGAAAATAAACTTAAAGATTTGGTGATTACATTTTTGACAAAAGATATTACTTTATTCAGATTTCTATAAAATATTATGTATTATATAATTTGCTCATAAAGTTGTTGTGCATACCATTTTTCAAAGAATTTCTATATTGCAGTAAAGAAACTATTAAAGTTTTGCATATCAAATTATGAGTTAGTGTTTGACAGAACTATGGATATATTGTTGCTGGAAGCAAAGTGTGTGTGTGTGTGTGTGTGCAACTTTGCCCAAACAGACATGTGCGGCACAGTCCCCGTTAGCTATCGAATTTAAGATATAGTCTTGGAATATGATTATGATGATTGTTTAACCTTTGTACCTGATCGTCAAACGAGTACTTGTCCATATTCAGAGAGATTGCTCTGGAACAGCATTAATTAAAACAAAATCAGCAATTTTGAATATATATAACATTTTAATTATTTTATGTAAAGTTTTGGTAATAGCAAAAGCCCACAGGGTGCTGAAATATGTACATCAGATTTTTCGGGAGGATTGACACATGACTACGATGGAAAAAATATTCCAAAATATTTTTATTTTGTGTTTTATTGATAATAAAGAATATTGGTTACAAAGCTGCGTTGACTAAATATGAATCTTTGCAGTCAATGACTGATCAGAGTGAACACTGGTCAGAGAGAAAAAATTCATGTAACCTCTCTTTCACAGAAACTTATTTGTATTACCGGTACATGTATTATCAAATTCCATTATCAACTTCGGAGCTGAAATTAGGGGGGAAATATGAAGTGACAAATCACATGCATGTAACTTTGTGATGACAACCGCCGCCTCCTCATACATGTAGCTAGGATACTGCTTTTCTTTCAAATATTACGCGGAAAGTATATTTCAGAGCATATTTCATGAAGTAACAGTTAACTATCAAGTATCCATAATATATTAACCCCAGATGAGGACAGATTTACTCGCCTGAAAATAAAACATAAAAATCAATTACACACAAATATATATTTTCTGGGTGAAACAACTTATAATACTGTAAAAGGGTTAAAAATTCACTGGGTTTTAATTTTGCTTATTTCGCTGACTGGAAAATTGAGCATAGATAGTCATTTAAATGATAAAACTGTGAATTTAAAAATCACTAAATATGCCTGAAATGGTAAATCAGTGAAATTTAAACCCAGTGAAAAATAGTCATTTTTCAGTATTATACATCTGTTACCGTAACGCCATAAGTTACAGTGGCTCGTAATTTTGCGGTATTTTACGGGGTATTTTCATCCTACCATATTAGGCAATGCGAATTCCAAATATGGAATGATTGCGCGCGTAAGCGTCCTTTAATAATAAAAACAAACATTGCTGCCACCAGGATTTGACCGGACTCCATACAAAGAAGTTCGCTGATTCTGTTCTAAACACTTTTGATTTTGGTATTCCCCATGATGTATCCTTGGAAGGAAAAGATGTATAATAATAAGGTTATTACAAGGATATATCTAAGTATGCACTCAGACAGTACACAGTCGGTCGATACTTCCGTTGTTCTGTTTTTGTGCATACTTTGAGGTATTCAATTTGATTTTAACGTTTAATTTTTTTTTTTATAGTTCAGTCTTAAAATAACGATCTTTCGGAGGGGGACATGGCATTGGGATACCTACATCAAAATTGACAAATATCAAACAAGAAAACTTCTGCGTTTGTGAATTTTCATGCAATATTCAGACTCCACTGCGATACTATGACCTTTATTTGTCATGTTTTTACATTCCATTTCATGCATAACATGGGATCTTGAGAAATTGGACTGGAAATTGGTCTATTTGGACTGGAGCTCAGGAACAGAATATTCAAAATGGCAACTTTCAATTATCAACATTGGGCCTAGAATTAGCAACTTACCCTAACATTCCATGTTCTTTTGTTTTAATATGATGGAAGAAAAGTAGAATAGCTTGAAACATGTTGCTACGACCCTGTGAAGAGAAAAAATATAAATCACAAGTTAAGTCGATGACCAGAGTGGTCCACAGGTCAATATACAAAGTTGACAAAAATATTCGCCAGAAATAATTGAAGATATCATCATGAAATGAACAAATCTAACAGAGGTCCATCCATGTTTTACATACCAAGTAACGATCTCTATAGAGTAGTCCACAGGTCAATACGAAAGTTGACTTTGAAAGTTGTAAATCAGAACGACACAGCAGAATGTTGAGAATGGTTTACATACCTTAGGTACATCCCAAGTATCATCACCTATAATGACTTTGTAATGGGGTGGGTTGATTTTGGACTGAAAAATCAAAATGTTGTCTTTTTTCTTTAAATCTAAGGATATAAAAAATACAGTGCCACTATTAAAACTTTCCTTTCATATTAATATTTCCAAGGTTAGATAGATAATATCTTACTAGTGGTCAGCACTATGTGAACCTGTTTTTGAATTATCTAGTATCATTTATAGAGTCCAGTTTGTGACTCCCATGTTCATATTTTTTGGGAATGCTTTCTGCATACACAAATGATGGTCAGCAATGTAATGTGGGTAACACAATGGTAAAGAGCTTGTCCTTCAACTGATGTGGTCATTCTCCGTGAATTTACACCATTTAATTTTAACTGTTATTAAATTTTATTAGATTTCTTAAAGGGTAATACTTGAATTTCAGAATAAAATTGCAAAAAAATGTGATTTGATTAACTATATGTTAGTACAAATGCAGCTGGGCCATGCTTAGTTTACATTATTATACATCTGTCATCATAACACCGCAAGTTACAGCGTGGCGTAATTTTGCAGGATATTTTCATCCTACCATGCAAGGAAATGCAATTCCAAATATGGAATAATTACGCACATAAACATCCTCTAATATTAAAAACAAACATTGCTGCCACTAGGGGTTTGACCGGACTCCACACAAAGAAGTTCACTGATTCTGTTCTAAACATTTTGGATTTTGGCATTCCTATGGTGTATCCTTGGAAGGAAAAGATGTATAATAATAAGGTTATTAGGAGAATACACTCAGAGTATGCACTCAGACAGTACGCCACGCATTGACCTCCACTGCGCATTGGTTAATACTCCAGCTGTACGGTCTTCGTACATACTTTGAGGTATTCTCGTAATAACCTCATATTATTTGTAGAATACTTTGATGTGATACTGAATTTACTACGCAATTACACGTCACTTTTAGAGTAAAAACAAACCTGGTTTATCTGGAGTCTTCATAAAATACTGGTTAGTAAAGGTTTTACCATCTGGGTACTTTGGATGTGGAGGTAACTGTGAATCCAGATAAGTACATAGTAGATGCTGTAGAATCTAAATAAATAGCAATACACACATCAGATCCAACATGAATGTGTAATGCCAACGGCAGCAGTAACCGAAAAGCTTTAACGCAGAAAATAATGCAAACAATGTTTTTGACTTGCTAAAAAACAGACATGACCTCGCTAGTTGAAGACACCCTCTACAGTCAACACTCATCTACTACTTGGTCACGAGAGGGCTCTCGTCAAATATGACTGATATTTTAAAAAGATTGGGGCTCACAAGTTATTTTCCACTGTTATAGCTAACAATGCATTATATGACCATTATTTCATTTTAAATTTGTTCACCCACACAGAGGGAGCACCTTTCAATAGCTCTTGTGCATACACTTACCACACAATCTGTTGGTAGATCATGATCCCATTTTCTACCACGGTAATCACCACCTCCATTCCATCGAAAATCACTCATACAACCTCCCTGAGATAATTCTACAAAAACACATAAGAGTAAAACTATATTCTAACCAACAGATCTTCATGGGTGTGGTGTAGTAAAATCACATGCGATTACATGAGGCACAATTGGCTAGCTATGCAGCCACTCATTAAAGTAAACTGGAGCAGAATTTGACTTCAATACTTGCCTGCAAGTCTCTGTATTAAGTATTCTTGATTTGCACTGACATCTAAGTATGATAACACTTTTGGCAACGATGGTATTAAGTGACACTTGCTTTGCGATATCTGACGTAATGATGTGATGCCGACTTCTGCATATCAAAGACACAAGTATTTAATCCATACATGTACATGTATACTATACACAATTGTCAGTGAAATTAAGTCAATTAACAGGGTATAGAGTCCAGAGTATGACAACAGGTGCATTAATACAGAAAGTATAAATTATAATCAGTATAATGTCATATGAAATGATTGATGTTATTTGTATGGATAAATTATTATATGTTATACCGCCAATCTGTAATTCAGCAGAACCCATTTGTCGTAGCTTAGTATTGATTTCTTCAATTTCTTTCATCAGGTTTTTCAGCACTGTCTGAGCAATCCACTAAAAAAAAAAACAGTATAATAACAAGTGTGCATGCTCTATGTACAGTAGTTGGGGTTTAGATCACATTACCGGTGTGGCACATGCACATAGAACTGCAGATTTCCAAGATGGGAAATCAAATTTGCTACCTAAATTGCAAAACAGCTAACTGACACACAGGCTATGGAAAATACGAAGGCCTGGCCAACTGAGACATTAATCTGAATAACCTGAGAGATGCCATTTATTTGTTCATCCCATCCCATCCCTCACCTCGTGCTCGCTGAGCAAACTTTCATATTCAACAAAGACAAAGATTAATGATTATTTTTTATGTCAATCAACATCCTTGTACAATGTTCGATATGGATGGTATATAAAAAACATGTCATTGTCAATGACATAGTCTGAATTTGTGTTATAAATGCAAGGTACCAATGTACATTAATGACCCGGTGTGTGAAATGTATGTGTGAAGATTAAACTCGCTTGTTCCAGGCATATACAAGATATGGCTCCGATGAACTGTATTCATTGAAACAAAATGGCCACCAGTCAACCATTTGGAACCCAATACGAAAAATAAAGTGCATCATTGTCTCATTACGTATGTACCAGGATTGAACATAACTGAGATTCAGGTTTTGGCCTTTATTGTCAATTCAGGCATATTGATACACATCATGAAATAAATGCACGTACATATGTCCAATATGATACACGTGTAACGCTTAAACTTGATCAGTCAATACATGTCAGTTATACAGATCCGTAACTGCTTTCTTTGATACAAAAACTACATGTATACAAACAAAAATACAGATAAAAAATATACCTTTCGTAGATTTTCAATCCATTCTTCTACCGCATCCCTAACAACTCCCAACTTTGCCCAGGATTCATTTGCTGCAAAGGTAGCTGGGTAATCAGGATCATCGTCATTCCTGGAAGACTGTGACTTAGGTGAGCGGCTTGCAATTTGATACTGGTACTTTCTCAAGACTGGAGTGTAGTCAGAAGCTGATCTGTTATAACTCCAATATGATGGGCTGCTACCTGGAGAGGTATCGCCACTTGCTAAGTGGTTCCACTGTTCTTTCTCATCATAGTTCTTTAGGTAGGAGTTGAGAGACGTCATGTCTGTGATTCTCTCGTCTGTAAAATAAAACATGGTAGTCCAAAACAAGTTATTTTAAACAGAACTAACTAAAATGCAACTACAAAATGTTCATCTGAATAGGTTTCTAAATGCAGTCATTGTTGGTCATTTTGTCTGTTTGAAACCTTTTTATTATAGATTCTTATAGTTAATGTGATTCTCTTGGTAGGTCAACAACTAGTAATAAAGTGATACTTACCAGGTGAGCTGACACCAGGAGAAGACTGGTGTCTTGGTCTTAGTGATGAAGTACTTGGACTGTCTCGAAATAAAGGTGAAAAATTGATACCAGTGGAAGATGTACGAGGGCTGCCACTTGTGGGCTGCGAGGCAAGAAT